AGCAAACAAGGATTAAGACAGAATTAAGTCCACGCCTCGCTCAAGCTGGCAACAGCAGCTTTAATTGCTAGACTTGTGTGGTGACAAATCTCCCTCTGCCCACAGTGGTTGGGAAGGATAAACGTCTGCACCCTGGAGATCTGGCAAGGCGCTCTGGGAGATCGCAAATCTGAGTGGAAGCAGAGGGCCCGGGATCTTCAGGGGCCGGTCAGCCCAACCTGGGGGGCTCCCAGCCCTCCGCCAGGGGCTGCTACCGAGGCCGGCTCCTCGGAGGCTCCCTCGATCAGTGCTGAATCTCATCTGAGGAATGGGATTTCTCACGGAGACAAAAGCATTCTTCCCCCACTTCCCAGTGGGCCCACCCCCAACACACTCCCCAGCACACAACTCCCAGCCTTCCCCAGTGATTCTGACGTAGTTGAATCACTGGTTTCTCAGCCCCTTTTCTCCCATTTTTATGGTTCTTTTGCGGTTCTTGATTATGTCTCAGTCTACAACATGTGGTAATAAGATCTGAATTCCACCCACGTGGGAGGAGAGGACTAACAAGTTACTGTATCTGCTGCAACTCTGAGGTCAGCGGATGAAAGGAGCTCAAATAACCCAGAGACCGGCTCCTGAAGCCAGGCTGGAGCGGGCAGTATCAGGGAAAATTAGCCGACCCCAGGAAGGGGCAAAGGGAGTGATGAGAAGACTGTGCATTGTCAATTATTTCCTTTGAAGTCCTCAACGATGGTCTTCTAACAGGACAGTCCATGAACAAAGACAAGCTCTCCATATTTAATGGACGAATCAGAGATTCATCAGAGTCTTCCATTCACTTTACAAAACTTACAGGATCTGAAGAATGGAAAGGAGAAGCATTTGCTTTCCTTCCTGAAATCTGTGGCGGTAGGAAAGTCTGGGCTCGCCCAGGGCATTCTGTACAGCAACAAGGCCTGCGTAGGCTGGCGCTTCTTGGGGCTGCCTTCCACACCAACCCTGCCCAGCCAGGTGGTTCTCCAGCAGGGCCCAGGTCCTCTGCCAGCCCTGGGCAGGGCAGGGCCAGGCCAGAGGGCAGCTCCAGGCCCACAGGAACCTCGGGAGTCTTGTTGCTATGGTACCGCCTGCCCCTCTCCATCTCAGCTCCCTGAACCGTCTCCCACATCCTGCCTGCTGGGCAGGTCCAGTCTATTGAATTCACCCACTCATTCATCAACTAGGACGAGGGACCCAAACAAAGCAGAAGGATCTTCTTGGGGGCAGGCCCTTGGGGCACAGGCTTCCTCATAGGTGAGTGTTCTAGGAACCCGTCTGGATCGGTGCACCAGCTGGCATTGCTGTGAGAGGCTGCGTTTGGCTTCAGTGGATTTTTATTAAGACTTTTTCAACACATTTGCCCATTTCATGGTGGGCGATTTACGAGTGCCCCTGCCCACACCACGCTGAGTGCTCAGCAGCAGTTGTTGACTAAAAAGTACATGGTCCCCGCGCCCCACCCTCCTGCTCACCCAGTCTTGCCCAAGTGGCTTTTTTTTTTTTGTCTCCCCAGATGAAAAAAGTCCTCAAAGGGAAAGGTTTTGCTGATGTGGAAGAGATGAAACGAAAAACATCAGAAGCACTAAAAGGCATCAACATGGACGAGTTCAAACACTGTTCTGAACAGTGGGAAAAACCTCTCGGTAGGTGTGCTGCATCGGACGGAGAGGACTCTGAAGCTGACTGGAGTTTGAACATGTAAGAACAAACACACAATTTTTTACAAATAAATTCCAGGTTTGGAGTCTTTCCCCTCGTATTTATTGAAGCCTACTAAGGGCCATAGACTGTTCTACTGAACAAATCAGGTAAAGCCCTCCTTCTGGGAAGCAGACGTTCCAATGCAGGGAGAGATGTTGAAGAAGAAACACACACAGTGTGTCGGCTGAAAACAGGGACCAGGAAGACACAGAACAATGCACGAGAGGATGGAGGGTGACGGGGTGGGAGGGGGTGGCTGCCATTTTACAGGAAGGTCGAAAAGGCCTCTCTGAGGAGTCAACGCCCAGCACAGCTCTGACTGACAGAGGCGAGGGAGCAAGCGAGGGAACTAGCGGAGGGACTGGGGTTCTGGACAGAGGAAATGGCCTGAGCGAGGACCTCGAGCCCGGAGTTTGCCCGGCGTTCCAGGAACAGCCAGGAAGCCAGCTCTCCTGGAACAGAGGGGCTGAGGGGAAGGGGAGGTGGTAGGAGATGGGCCAGGGAGGGGCCAGGAGCCACAGCATGAGCAGCAGGCCAGCTCAATCGGTCAGCCACTGCACGTCGAGGGCCCCGTGCCCCTGGCCAGCACTCCATGTCCCTGCTGGGCTGAGGGGAAGGGCACAACGCAGTATGGTTGTAGAAGACAGTGGCACTTTAACATCCTTGTCTTTGTTTCCCCTCAAAAGTAATAGTTGCAGATTTAGAGAATATGAAAAATGTGGAGAAGGCTCATAATGTGGATGCAGAAAAGTAAAGCTATCAGGTAGCTGGGATGATCAACATTTCCTCCAGTTTTCCAACCTTTGAATAATGCTGCTGTAGTAGGTTTATAATGCATATATGTTTAAGAAGAAACTCAACCAAAAGCTTCGCTGGAAATAAAACAGCATCGTACCCTCTTAGCTGATGCACAGACTTTGGAACACAAACTCCATGAGATGAGATGCGCCACCCCCCCACCCCCACCCCCCCGCTGCCCTTCTCTGAAAAACACAGACTTTTGAACCACTGGAGGAGACTGGACTGACGTTCTGGCTTTGCCACTCACCGCTGTGGGGACTCAGGTCGGTTACTTGCCCTCTCTCTGAACCTTGGTTTCCTCGTTATAAAATAGGCATCACTTCCATGGGACCTTTGTGAAGAGGAGAGGTGATGCATGGCATGTGGGAAGTACAGAGCAAATGGTGGCTCATCAGAGCTATTGGCAAATGGGCACATTTGTTCAGTTAGCGAGTACTGAGCCTCTGCCCTGTGCTGGGTACTTCTTTCCCTGTGCTGGTAACACAGCAAGAAACAAGGCAGAAAAGAACATAGTTTTTCATCTTCTTTCCCCAAATTCCAATGGTCCAAAAGACAGCATCAATCTAGAAAACACAAGAACTATGTAATGGCCCTCGGAATGAGTGCAAGGTGTTGGAGCCCACGGTGTGTGCTAGGAAAGTGGGTGGGAAGCAGGTCACCTGGAGACAGGGCTGCAGCTGCACCCCTTTGAAGGGGACAGCGTGGCTCCAGAGATCTGTGTCTTCAGCCTTTGCTGCTGCTGTCCCTGCTGCACAGACAAAGCCGGGAAGCCCCCTCCTCTGGCTGGAACCCTCGGAGTGGCTCACAGACAGTCACGGACAGCGACCTGACTCAAAATGTACCCCTGGAAGACGGGGGCTTCTCTTGGCCCTCGGGATTAATTACTTCGAGTTCCTGGGCTGTTCACCAGCCACACAGCTCAGACCAAAACAGTCCCGGCTCAGCAGACAGCAGATACTGTTCCTGACGTACGATTTTAAATAAAAGACGGAATGTCACATTGTCCTCTCTGGCAGCACCACTTCCCAGAAGAAAAGTAATAAAGGTTTAAACAAAAGGGAAGTCTTATCCCCTCAGGGAAATTAACCATTTCTGCAGAAACTAAGAGCTGTTCCAGACAGCCAGCTGGGGCTGGACTGAGCAGCACCTCTGTGAACAGAGGGACAGACAAATGGGCCAAATGCATTTATCACAGCAGTCCTGCCACCAGACAGGTACCAACTGACCCCCCTTCGACAGGGAAACCCAAGGCCAAGTTCGAATAACAACGAGCAGACCTGGAAAGAGGCTAGGTAGGTTTGGCACCAATATTGGGTGTTTTTGTTTTAACATCTTCCTCAACCTGGTTTTTACTCATTATTAAAAACAATAGACACAAGCTTCCAGAAATGTGACAGGCCAGGATACCTAGCAAGGTAGTTCTGTTCAGAAAACGTGGCTGGCTTAGAGGGAGGGCTATTTGGTTGAGTGCCCGCTTCAGCCCCGCCCCACCGCCCCCATCCCCAGACCCTGGAGCAGCTGGTGCCCTGGAGCACAGTGACTTCAAACCAGGGGCTCACCCTCAGAGTGGGATCAGGGAAATTTTTTTTCCCAAGGGTAAGAAGCCAAACCTACCAGGAATGTATTTTTAAAATATAGGTCTGGTTTGTGATACGTTGTACCTGGCAGGCCTCCCCTCGCTTACTGACCTAACCGGACTGAACTGTCCCCTGACATGGATTCTACAGAAAAATCTTCTATGAGCACGTACTCCCTCGACCTGCCAGGAGGGGGCGGGCGGGGAGGGGTTGTCCCTGAAATGCCCCAGCAGGAACGCCCCCCGCGCCAGCCCCACATTCCCACCAGCCCCACTCCACCCCAAACTCCGGAGAATTCTTGGAATTTTCCTCAGGGTTTGCTTGCTGTGAGGGGAATACCAGGTGGGTCTACCGTGTTGGAGACATCAAAACCCAGCCAAACCCTCCAGATCTGAGGTTCTAAGAGACACCTTAAAAAGGTAGAAAGAGCTAGTGGCCCAGGGTTCCGGTTCTGGCTCGCGGGGTGACCTAGGGAAGTCGTCCCCTTCTTTCGGCCTCAGTTTCCCCTTCTGTAAAGTGAGTGGGATCCAGGTGGGCACCAGGCGAGCACCAAGCAAGACGTCGCAGGCTCCCCGAGGCGTGACAAAGGAATTGTCTCAGCCTTCTTGCCTCCCTCCGAGCACGACGCAATTCTCTCTGAGCGCCTTCTCTGCTTGGATACGAACTCGCGCAGAGTCTTCGAGCCTCCTGCGCGCAGACTTCCGCGGCCCGGTCAACCCGACGACACCCCTCCTCCCAGGCCGGCCCTGGAGCTGACCTCAGAGTCCCCGCGCCGTGCCCCGTTTCCCTCCGATGGAACCCCGCCCTCCCCCAGTCCCCCGGCGGAGCAGGCGGAGGGCGGGGCGGGGCGGGGCGCGCGGGAGGCGGAGCCGAGCCGGGGAATCCTGCTCCGGGCGAGCGCCGGACCCCGCAGAGCATCCGCGCCGTCCGAGGGCCCCAGTGCCCGGGGCGGCAGGGAACCCCGGAGCAGCGGAGCCGGGAAGGATCCCCGCGCCGAGCGAAACACCGCCGCCGCCTCCGCGCCGCCCCCGCGGGCTGGCAGGTGTCCGGCCGCCCGCTCTCCGCCCGGCCGCCAGGTCCCGCGGTCCCGCCGTCAGCTCGCTCGCCCGTCTCCCGCGCGCCATGCAGCCGCCGCCGGCCCCACGCGCGTAAGGCATCCGCCGCAGGCCATGCTGCCCCTGCTCGCCGCGCTGTTGGCCGCCGCCTGCCCGCTGCCCCCCGCCCGCGGCGGGGTCGCGGACGCGCCGGGCCTCATCGGGGCGCCCCCCAACGCCTCCGTCAACGCGTCGTCCGCGGGCGAGCCCGCCACCCCGCGGCTGCTGTCCTCAGCGGCTGCCGGGGCCCCCGAGCACCCGGGCCCGGAGGAGGCGGCGACGCCGTGCAACATCAGCGTGCAGCGGCAGATGCTGAGCTCGCTGCTCGTGCGCTGGGGCCGCCCGCGGGGCTTCCAGTGCGACCTGCTGCTCTTCTCCACCAACGCGCACGGCCGCGCCTTCTTTGCCGCCGCCTTCCACCGCGTCGGGCCGCCGCTGCTCATCGAGCACCTGGGGCTGGCGGCCGGCGGCGCGCAGCAGGACCTGCGCCTCTGCGTGGGCTGCGGCTGGGTGCGCGGGCGTCCACCCGGCCGCCTCCGACCCGCCGCCGCCGGGGCGCCCACCGCGCTGCCCGCTTACCCTGCGGCGGAGCCCGCGGGGCCGCTGTGGCTGCAGGGCGAGCCGCTGCACTTCTGCTGCCTGGACTTCAGCCTCGAGGAGCTGCAGGGGGAGCCCGGCTGGAGGCTGAACCGCAAGCCCATCGAGTCCACGCTGGTGGCCTGCTTCATGACCCTGGTCATCGTCGTGTGGAGCGTGGCCGCCCTCATCTGGCCGGTGCCCATCATCGCCGGCTTCCTGCCCAACGGCATGGAGCAGCGCCGGACCGCCGCCAGCGCCGCCAGCGCCGCCAGCGCCGCCCCCGCCGCCGTGCCCGCGGGGACCACCGCCGCCGCCGCCGCTGCCGCCGCCGCCGCCGCTGCCGCTGCCGCCGTGACTTCGGGGGCCGCGTCCAAGTGACCCGCCCCGCGCCCCCCTGCGTCCGCCCGGTGTCCGTGTTCGCGGGGGCCTTTCCCGCCGGAGCTCGGCCCGTGTGCTTCGTGCTGTAGTGACCGTTAGTTCTTCCGGGGAGGGGGTCGCCAGAGAGGTTCCGGCGTGTCTGCAAAGCGAGGTGTGTGCGGTGCTCTGGCTCCGAAACCACTCCGCCGGCCCTGGCGCTTGCCGAGGGGTGGGGTCCGCCGCTGGGAAGACGGAGAGGAGGGATTTGGGCCCTTTCCCCTCTACTGCATCCCCTGCCCTCCTCCCTCCCGCACCCACGTGCCCTATATTCATGGCAGAAAATGACCAAATCCTGTGTATTTGTTTTATATATTTAATAACTGTTTTAAATGAAAGTTTTAGTAAAAAAAAAAATCAAATTGCTATTGCTGTAGTAAGAGAAGTTCTTTGTACCCAAACAGTATTTGAAGTTTGTTTGTTTTTTAGAAATTTATTTGAAGGGGGGTGGGCACGGGAATGATTTAACACTGATATATTGTTACCGCTGAAAATGAACTTTATGAACCTCTTCCAAGTCGATCTATCTAGTGATGTGGCCTGGTGGGCGTTTCTTCTTGTACTTCTGTGTTTTGGGTTTTTGTTTTTGGTTGGGTTTTTTTGGCTTTTAATACAGACATTTTCCTCCAGAGTGGCGTATGTAGCTTTTTCTTTATTTGCCTTAAGAAAAAGAAGCCGAGAATTATAAAGATGTTCCCCTGAAATATGGAGGGAGGGATTCGCCAAGAAGTTCAGAGAAGGGCTCCTTCGACTCTCTTACCCGCCTGGGGACGGTGGGAGAGGGCTACAGGTTATTTTCCCTGATGGCAATTGCTTCTCTGGGCACCACACTGCCCTCGCTCCCACCTCTCAGTTTGGTGCCGTTTGTCATGGTGGCAAACAGGGTTTTTTATGTGATTTATCTCTTTATCCACTGACCCTGGCTCTGCAAAGCACCCAGTGAAGTACCAGAATGGAAAAATCAATACGTACTCTGAGCCGGGTGTCTCACGGAAATGACTCACTTTGAAAAGCACGTAGATTTCCTTTTCACTTGTGTAAACTCGAGCACGTGAGCACATTTCAGCAGCAGGCCTTAACGCTGGAGATATTATTTTGGCATTACGGTTTTTTTTACCCTCACCCAAGGACATTTTTTTCATTGCTTGCAGACAAAGAGAAACATCGATGTGAGAGAGAAGCACCAATTGGTTGCCTCCCACACTCGCCCTGACTGGGAGTCGCATCGCATGCACCTGGACCCGGGGAACGAACCCAAAACCTCAGTAATGGGCCTGATGGGAAATCGAACCCACAGACTTTCAGTTACAGGATGACGCTCCAACCAACTGAGCCACACGGGCCAGGGCAAGAGTTTTCTCGAAGGTAGATTCTTGGGGACTAAACAGTTAATGATCACAAGGCTCTCTTCAGTCCTGGTGTCCATGTCACAGTGTCTGCTGAGTAGTTCCCGATTCGCTCTGCTTTTCAGAAGAAAACAGGAGAAGTCCTTAAAGTGACTTAATGCCAACACCACCTCGGCAGCTGCTCGCCCCAGCGCCTCTGCCCACTGCCAGGTGAGCCCCTTGTCCTGTTCTAGAGCTGCAGTTCTCAACGCGTGGTCCCTGGAACGGCAGCCTCAGCATCACCTGAGGGCTTGTTAGGGATGCAGAACGGGTGGGAGGGTGCAAGGGCAGCCACCCGGGACCTGCTGAACCAGAAACTCTGGGGTAGAGCCCAGCAATCTGTTTTAACCAACCCGCCGATGGTTTCTGAATCATTTCAAATCTGAGAACCTTTCACATATGGGGCCTCCTTTTATCTCAAGATACTGGTATTATATCAAAGAAACAGGAGGCTTTTTTCCATGGGGTTCTGTCTGAAGGAGAGGCTGGGCCCTTGCCCTGCAGCATCAGCTGCCCCTCTGGCTCTCCGGGGTCCAGGGCTACTTCTGACAGAGGTCAGCCTCCCAGACACTGAAGAAGTTCAAGGTAATGCAAACCCCCTGTCTTGTAATTCACTGTCGATCTCCTTCCGCCCCAGAGCAATGTGGGCTGTGAACCACCCCATCCCCCACGCTGCAGTAACCAGCAGGAGAAGATCAGGGACTGCTCATCGTGGTCTATGTTAATAGAATCATAGCATCTGCAGATCTGGAAGATACATTAAGCGTTCCCTGGGACAACGAACAATCAGCCACTCTCCCCGCTTTTTCCCCAGCTGGAGCTGAGGCTCAGAGAGGTTCAGCATCTTGCTCACAGCCACACCGCTGCATGAGGAGGCAAAGCTAAGACCAAACCTGGGTCTTCTGTCACCCTGACTGGCCTTCTTTCAACACCAGAAACTTCCTTTCCTGGGAGAATTAGGAGTTAGCCACTCGGGGTCTGCTCCTCTGTTGGCCCACCCTTGTCATTGTCAGATTTTGTGAGCCACAAACCGAAAGGGGCCAGGGAGCATTGATTTTCAATGGGAAACTCAGTGTCTGATATAACTTTATATACACACGCACTCGTCGGATGGGCCCTAAGGAATACTTTCTTAGGGTGGGTCTGAAATGCCAGTATCGGTTGCTACCACGTAGAGCTTCAGAAGGAAGGTGTTCAGAATTGCCAGAGAGGTTGTGGGGGGAGTGCATGTGTGTGCACATCCGTATAAATCTGGCGGACTGGTCAGTTCTCCTTCATGCTGATTTTGGCTGCTTTCTGAGAGCTGGAGCTCCAAGCAGGGGACTACAGGCTGAGGATGGAGCCTGCATCCTTTCGGTCACTTCGAGTTGGAACCATCCAGTGGGTGAAGGAAGCCAGGTGCCGGCGCCCCTGCTGCAGGGTCAGAGGCCTCTCGTCGGTTTGGTTCACACTGTCTCAGTGGTGCAGCCCTGCCAAGCGCGCAGTTTGCAGAAGGGTAGTCGCTAACTCCTTGGACGGGAGAAGAAGCGCGCCCACGCAGCCTGCGTGTGCGCAGGGGTGGAATCCCCAGATCCCAGCCTGTTCTTAAAGCCTTCTGGAGACAGCTTGAGTTGCTAGTGACGTAGCTGAAAATGGAATTGTGCTGTACTGAACTGTTTTTGAAACTTTGCTTCATTATGCAAGTGCTACATCACAGAAAATGAGAAACTGCCCTTCCTAAGATCAATGAATTAGTATCAGCAACAATCCCAGCACCCATAAGGGACCATGGCTAACATTTAGCAAAAATGTTCAAATGCATATATGATATGTATTTCAACCCAGCAGGTGCCTGCTTCTTAGGGCTCTGCGTTCCCCACTCAGGGACTCCATGGTGGTCCCCTCCCTCTGCAGAAGGTAACGGAGGGCCTCTTGGGGCAGGTGGTTTATGAAGGCTGACACGTGGGTATGTTGCTGATACACAGCTCAGAGGTCAGCTGCACAGGATATTGAAATCCAGCTGAGGACCAAAGGCCTGACGGAGATGAGGGGTGGGGGAAGGTGTGCTGTCTTTCCCGTCCCAAGTTCATCTCCTCCAGACATATCAACGCCAGACTGAACGTCCCACCCATCCAGAGCGAGCTCTCCGCTCTGGAGTTCGAGGTCCCAGGTGTAGCTGATGAGGAACAGAAGAGAACTTTGCAGGAGGAACCATGCATTTCATCTCCTCAAGTCATCACCACAGCGCCGCCACCTTACAGCGCCCAGGTCTGTTTGACGTCTTTGGTGCAAAAATGACTCCGGGATTCAAAAAGCAGGAAGGATATTGCGTCCGTACGATGCTGCCCAGAAAGCTGTCGTGGCCCCACAGGGCTGGGTGATGGCCGAATTCGGATGCGGCAGGGGTGGGTGCTGAGAATGGGCCACCCAGAGAGAGGAAGGAGATGGGCAGTCGGCCGGACACAGGACCCAGCAGGGGGTCAAGTGTGTTCAGCGCCCCTTGCAATAAATGGATGGTGTTCAAGTTTTTTGCGGTGGGTCTTGCCCAGGACTGAGTTCCCTCGAAGCAGAGCCTGCCGTGGAAGGACTCATGCGAGGGGTTATTGCAGGTGTGTGGGGGGCGAGCCGCGGAGCAGAATGACACCTTGACATTGCCCCACCCGAAGGGAAAGGGTTGGCCTTTTGTCTTGCTATTTCAGTCACTGAGAAGACCTTGACGTTCAGGGCTGTACCGCCTCCCTGGCAGCTCCCCTTTCTCTGGGACCAGTTCTCCAGAGAAGGAGCAGCTTGCTGCCCGCCCGCACAGCAGTGGCGGGGACAGTCTGCGGGCCTGCGAAGGGGACCTGGGAGGGCCCGACTGCGTTCACTGCAGGCCTCGAACTGCTCTTGAGACCCATGCCCAGCAATGGTTGGGGGCGGAGCGCAGCTCAGCCAGGCCAGTCGAACTCTAAACTCCCTATCTGGCCTGCGTGCTGACCTCTGGGCCTTCGCCTGTCTCAGGTGAGGTCTGGATGGCTGGCGTAGCCTCTGGGTGTCCCGTGCTTGTGCCAACTGAAATGCAGCTGGCTGTGCCATGCCAGCCCTCCCTGATGAAGCCAGAAGTCCCTGTCATTTGTCTCTCTGTTCAGGGTCCTGGCTCACCAGTACTGCATTATTAGAAGGGAGAGCCCACAGTATCAGTATTAGTGTCAGTATTGGTATTGATATTATTTACAGTAGCAGTATCTCTGCAGCTGCTGGGAGACTGGTAGTAACACAGGACAGGACACCGGGGCACCTCCTTTGCCATTAATGAGCTGTTGGCCAGGAGCAAAGCCCTCCTCCGTCACACCTCGGTTTCCTCCACCACAGAACAAGGTTGCTGGACAGGTGAGGCTGGGCCCCTCCAGGCCCTCAGTTCACGTTCTGCCTCCCCTCCCCGTCTGCCGCGTCCGTCGGGCACAACTACAGAGAAAGACCCCTGGAGGATTTCTTCACCTGGCAGACTGAGACGGGGTCAAGGCTACTCATTTTCCTGGGTGACTCGAGGGAGGAAATACGATACAAATAAGACAAGGGAGCTTTAAGGGTTTTGCCGCTGGGTTGTCTAAAGCGGCTATTGTGGGGTCTAACGATCTATAAACTCACGAGTTCCGCATTCCTCTGTTCAAATGGCCATTGCCTTGTAACAAAGATATTTTAAGCCAATGAGGCGAATGAGAAATTGTTGACACTGCTGACTTTGTCCCTTCGCCTCGGGTGTCACACGTGAAGGCAGGGTCTGCACAAGGGAAGGACGAGGAGACGTGAGCCTGGGCTGCGTGCCCATAGCACGCCGGGCACCGCCTTCCGAACCCCCCCCCCCCCCCGCAGCAGCAGTCTCACCAGGCAGGTCCTGCTTTTTGAACCACAACACCCACCGCTGCCCTAAGGGCAGGCACCAGGTCTCTTTCCGGGGTGCGCACATGACCTTGAGCATCAGATGAGAGCCCGCTGGCTCAGTGAGGAGTGTGGGCCAACAGAGGCTGGAGCCGGCAGCCAGACACACGGGCGTGGTCATGATAACAATGCAGCGAATTCATTCTCAGGTTCTTCCCCAGAAGCCTCCCTCAGCACTGTGAGGGTGTCATTTCAGGAATCCCCAGCCCGGTCTCACGGCTCCCCAAATCCCTTCTAAACATAGACCCGTGACGAGTGTGCCTGAGGGTTTGGATGAGCCCAGGCTCATTGTGACTCACAGCCGCCCCTGCGGGAGCCCCCAGCGCTCACTGAGTTAGCCAGGCGAGAT